AATCTCTGCTTAAATTCCTCACTAATCACATACCTCAAATCTAACTTTCTTTGTCTTGTCATTCCTCACAAATTTATGTTTCTTTGTTTAAAAGATATATATACTGCCTGCTTTATTCACTCTCATAGCATCATTTCTTTATGATCTCCAATACATACATATTAAACTGGGTTTTTCTCCTGTTAATCAGGTCTTGTGTCAATTTTATTATTAGTCCAGCCATGAGAACACAAGAAGGGAAGAAAGAGGATATTCCCTCCCCAACAGTACATATGAGGTGTGACCATGAGTGATGAAAGTGAACATGGAAAACAGGCACGTGGATTTTGAGGTTTCTCACCCTCCTGCACTCCATCTGCCACGCTCTACTTCTCAAGAGTTACAGTAAAAAGAAAAAGCTGCTTCTTCATCTTCACTTCTGCTTTCTTTCCTCACCGGCTGACTTGACTTAGGCAATTTAGAAAAAATAAGGTGATGGCAGAGTAGGGAGGCTGTCCCTTGAGCCTAAGCTAGTTTCTCAGTTTCACTTTTCCTAACCCTTCCATGGCCCATTGAATTTTAAAGGGAAGTCATGCTCAGCTCAGCTTAAATGAGAAAAAGAGAGAGAAAGAGAGAAAGAGGGAGGCATTGTTGTTTAGTGCTGTCAAGTCGGCTCCTACTCCTGGCGACCCTATGAATGAGTGATGTCCACATGTCCTGTCCTCAACAGTGCTACCCGGCTTCTGTAGACTCATGCCTGTAGCTTCTTCTGTGTTAGTGATAAGGATTATTTTGGGCTGGTTGCTTTTGAAAACTGCAGACAGGAAAGAGGCTCTGAAAAGTGGAATTTGCTTGCCTTTTGTTAAGAGACATTTACATTTGTAAGGGAGGTCTCCATCTGTGGGGTTGTCTCCCTCTCTGCACCAGGAAGAGAGGGGGATAACCTTATCTCTAGAAACTCTTAATGGGGAAGGCAAGGACATCCTGACTTAATCCAATCTGGTTCTTATCTAAAGTTATAGGACCACCCAATAACCAGACCCCACCTGCACTGATACCATTTTAACAACTTTTTTAATGTAATCTTTCCTTTGTCTTGTAAAGAGATAATTCACATTACGTATACCTTAAATTTAGCCCTACCCTCAACCCATGTTTGCAGCTCTTCCTGCACATGGGTCCTGCCCCATGCCTGCAGCTCTTACTGCCCATGGGTCCTGTCCCCATGCTACTCCATGCTATTCTCTGAATAGAAGAGCACTACTCCCAGAGCTTGAGAGTCCAAGAAATCTTCCTTTCAACTCCTCAACTCACCGAGCCCGCATCATTAGGAAAAAAAGAGAAGAGTAAGGCCAAAGGGAGGGAGAAGAGCAGAGAAGGAAAAGGAACAGAGGAAGCACTGAGGTAGGGATTCCTCCTCTCAAAATCATGAGATCAGGGCATCCAGATGACCAAGGCCAGAGGTTCACTACATGGAGAACTCCAAAGACCTGAAACATCTTATTGACAAGCCCACACCCACAAATCAAAAAACAAAAAAACTCATGCAGGTGCTGGCCCAGTGGCGTAGTGGTTAAGTTTGCACGTTCTGCTTTGGCAGCCCAGGGTCATGGGTTTGGATCCTGGGCGCAGACCTGCACACCACTCATCGAGTTGTGCTGTGGCGGCATCCCACAAATACAGTAAAGGAAGAATGGCACAGATGTTAGCTCAGCGACAATCCTCCTCAAGCCAAAAGGGGAGGATTGGCAACAAATGTTAGCTCAGGGCTAATCTTCCTCACACATACACACAAAAAAAATCACACGTGTCCCTAGGTATGTGTCGTTCTACTCCTCTTATCAAATACTCTGCAACTAAGTTTTGTTAAATCGGAAGCTTTGAGGAGAAGGAGGAGAGAGGAAGCGGCTAATGCTTAAGAATGTGCTCACATGTGAGGTATTGGTCTGGCTCCTATTAATAACTTTCTCCTGTTTCTCTCAGATTTCACTTTCTTGGTACTGCCCCAGCCCTCTCTATCACTCACTTCACTGTAGGTGTTTGGGATTTACCAGCAGCCCTCTCTAAGAAAAAACGGAGAGTATCCTGGGGTCTTAGAGCTAATGACACCATTTATAATGCTTGTTTGGGGAAGGAATGAAAGAAAATTGCCCCCAAAATGATGAAACAGAGTTCACCTACACACCCCCTAAGCACATAATAAAAACATTTATCATTCTCTTAAAGCCAGGTACATTCAGCTTTATGTAAAAGACAACTATATACCAAAGAACCAGTTTTGAAGTGAGCAGGCAGTTCTACAAGTGCCAATTTCACTTTTATCCTCATCATCTGTGCGTAATAATACTAACTGATTTCTGCAGGATGATGGAGTGTCCAGGGCACTTTCACTGCAATATATCATTTCCTTTACAGAGCAATCCTCCAAAGTGGAGAAGGCAGCTTTATCAGCCCACATTTAGACCTGAAGGGCATCAGAAATAACTTGATGAATCAAACACCTGAGTTCGTCACAGACAAGGCTTGGTGACTGAATAAGCTGGGCAAAATGTGTGATCTCTCTGTTCATCTTTTTCATTTATTAAAAAAAGGAACACTACCTCCTACCTGGAATGTTATAAGGTTTAAATGAAATGTTAGTAATGAAAGAGCTATTTCATAGTTACTTTCTTCCTGGTATTTAAAAGACCTTCTTAAAGAGGAAGCAGGTGGATCAAGGTCCACAATTCAGCACTTCTGACTCCAATTCAGATATTTCTTCCCTCCTACCAGCCTGCCTTATACAAATTGATGGCGCTTATATCTGAGCCGATGGTTGACTTTTCCACTAAATAGTTGCAGGCTGAATATCTTATAAAAGTTTGGTCTTCATAAGGATGGTGATTCTGAATAAGACACAGTCTATCTTCATGAGAGTTTTCACCCTGTGCTTGGGGAGATGGACAAGTAAACAAATAATTGCTAATAATTACTGTGGAAGCCTAACACCAAACCATTTCGGATCTCAAGCCACGGCTATTCCAATTGTGGGTCAGCTTGATCATGGTAGTAAACCTCCCTGACATCCACCTTCTTCTGGTGACCACGTGTCTATTATGCGTGCTTCCCATCTCACTGTTGAGCATCTACTACAAGTTCTGAGAGAAGCTGATAATCCCTCAAAAGGACCTGCTTACCATTGTCTAACAAAGAAAAAAGACAAAGTCACCTAAGAGAAAAATTTTTCCTAAAGTTGATTTCAGATTAAATGTCCAATGTGAATCCATCAGGAAAGGTTAACCGGTCATATACCATGTCACATGGCATTCAACTCTAGTTGAACAAGGAAATGATCTACACATGAATATCTCATATCACCAGTATATAAAAGAGCCAAAGGGAGCCAAAATAGTCCAATACAAACCTTCTTAGTTTTTATAACCCCTCACTGTAGTCGGTTATTTGAGAAAGTCAGTTTAGCAGGAAATTGTCCTCGAGAAATAATTTTTACTTAAAAATGATAGCTGTGTATTTGTTTACTATCTTTTGAAAATAGAATCAAAGTAACTTCTTTGAATTAGAGTCTGCCAATTGGAGTTCTTTTTCCAAGAAGGAATATACACAAGACATATCCATTTTGTGGCGTTTGAGATTTTCAGTTTCTTCTGTTTATATTCTTCTTCGTTGTCTTTTTTTTTTTTTTTTTGGTGAGGAAGATTGGCCCTGAGCTAACATCTGTGTGAATCTTCCTCTATTTTATATGTAGGACACCTGCCCCAGCGTGGCTTGATGAGCAGTGTGTAGGTCCATGCCCAGGATTTGAACCTTGTGTACCCCAGACCACTGAAGGGGAACTTGCAAACTCAACCACAACACCATGGGGCCAGCCCCTGTTTTGTTTTTTATAAGTGGAGAGAGAACTTAAAGCATTTGCAAATCAATCTAGCACAGACAAATTTGGAAAAAATCTACAACTGGCCTTTGGTAAAGAATCACTTTATTAAGAGAAGATAAATAGCAGTCTGCCAGTCACAAATATTCAGCATTCCATGGGCACCAACCAATTAATATATTTTTTCAAAGGAAATGTGGAGTATTGGTCAATCAAGGTGTAAGTTAAGTGGAGGTCAGTTAAGAGAGCTTCTACTGTATGACCTGTTTCTATTGATAATCCCAGGACCACTCTTAAAGAACATTAAAAATGTGAAATTAACAATACTTCAATTGCTTCTATCCACATCAACATGTCAAGCAAAGTCAGAGCTAAATTCTCTGATGAGGTTTTAAGCTCTGATAGTTTGTATTGTTGCTCGTGATGAGATCCTCATGTTTAAGGTATCAGAGGCTTAGTGGATGTGTTTGTTCAGTGGACGAAAATATTTCTCCAGAGAGAGGATACAGGTTTGCTTTTGGGCAGGACCAGTTTCTCAAGACAAAAGACAAAAGAAAACAATTCTTTGGATCTGGCCATGCACTTTGGAAAGTACTAGAATATGACCCCAGACTTCTGAGCCACAAGGAATTGAAGTGGTGTTTTCATTCTGAAAAATCTAAGTATACGTATGTCTCATTTTGACCCCACTCAACTCTCCGCATGATCCTTCTAGAATCTAGAATGTCTGCTTCTGAATAGAAGGAGCTTCCTTCTAAGGAAGGATGGTTCTACTAGGATGCTGCTAAAATTATGTTTGGGTCAACCACAATGTGATTCATGTCGGAACTACAGAAAATCACCCTCCCCCGTATTATCAGTTATACTTTGCATGATACTAAATATTTGAATGCACTTGCCATCTGTGAAGTATTATACAGTCCAAAATTGGATTTGAAATCTTAGTCTTCCTTATGAAGTTAGACCCATTTATCTGCATGCGACATCTGCTGATAAACTTAACTTTTAGCACTGAGTTTGGGATCTGTCTTGACCATTCCTACGTTTATTCTTTTGGACCTTTTGTTTATATCATTTATATTCTTCTTCTTAAAAACTACACATGAATAATGTAACTGATGCTTCTCATGAATCTCTTTTGCTTCTGCAGGAGGGATATTTGAAACTGTGGAGAATGAACCTGTTAATGTCGAAGAATTAGCGTTCAAATTCGCAGTCACCAGCATCAACAGAAATCGAACCCTGATGCCCAATACCACATTAACCTATGACATCCAGAGAATTAACCTTTTTGATAGTTTTGAAGCCTCACGGAGAGGTAACTATTTTCACACTTTTAAAAGCTTCTTTGGGTGATACATCTGCTCTAGAAGTCACTTTTTTTTGCTATCTTCCCTTTTTCAAAGTGGACATCTTTGTGCAAATGGGTTGCAGCAAATCTGGGTCCTCCATGTCACCGTCCAGTGCAATCTGAACTGTCCTAATGGATGTTGCCCAGCTCTGTTTTCTGGGCCTTTCTGATTAGCTTCCCCTTCAGTGCCCTCCACTCTATGATTAACTGGTCCAGCTGTGAATGGAAAATGTCAAGCTTGATCTGTTTTTCCTTCCTGAGGTTGAGATACCACCATGAAATTGTACAGTGCAGTCAAATAAAACTTTTTTGGAAGGTCACATCCACTGAGCATGTGGAAATGCCCACAACACACATAACTCACACCCTGAATTTTAACAGATTGTAGACTACTGGGTTTACCTAGCATCTTCTCAACAGGTTTTTTTTTTAAATCCCTTTCCACAAAATCATAGCAATATGAAGATTAACCTATGAGAACAATGTCTGCATTTGATTCTCTTTTGCTTCTGTACAGAAGACAAGTTCCTAGAAGTAACTTAATTTATATGTCGACTGCAAGCTTTCTCTTATGGAAGGAGTCGTTGGAACTGTGGGGCCTGTTTACACATCCCCTAGACACTTCCAACATGACTCTTCGAGGCGCAGTCACACTCCACGTACTTGAAATGTGGCTTCTAAGAGGGGAGCTGCTGAGACTCAACACAGATGTTTATGTGGAAACAAAGTCTGCTCATCACCCCAGAATACAAGGGGCTCTTTCCCTCACAGAAAAGTGTTTTCCCCATTAAATACACACAAGGAAATGGGATACAATGAATGCCATGTTCATGCTGATTTCTAAGTAACTAAATCCTCATTGTTTCTACATAGAATTAACCCAGTTGGGATCATCAGATAAGTTCACTTAATATACTCTTCTGAAAGATTCTTTCTGATATTTACAAACAAAATGTAACACTTATTTTCCAGGGAGCACAGATAAAAAGTGAATAGTATCAGATTTTTTCCTATCTACCGCATGACCATAGGAATATTTTCTTTTTAAAGGTTGACGGAGTTGCAGATACTACATAGATCAGAGTCGTCTATGAACAAATAATAAAACTTTATACAGTACTTTGAAGTTTACAAGGCATCTTCACATAAATATCCCTGAGTTAGATCTCTCTTTCTCTCTCTCTCTCTCTCCCTGTCTCTTTGTCACACACATGTGCACACACAAACATCGTTGAGCGAGTATCTTAGAAAGCCAACCACATTTAACAATGATATTTCAACCCACACAAAAATTGAAGGCTTTTTTGTGATCTGAAGTACCTGCCATACTCGTAAATTAAACACCCCCAAAGCTTCTTAAAACTGGTAATTTGCTGGCAAACAGAATTCAAAAGGATTGATTTTCTGTCAAGTAATATTAGCATCCCAAGACTAAATATTAGCAGGAATCTCAATCCATCATCTATGCCAGACAAAACAACAGTTTATGTACTCTCGTGCTCTCATTTTATCTTGCTAACCAATGAAAGCACAGAAAATGAACTTCTGAGGACACTGGCAGTTTACGCTTATGGCACTTAATGCAGAAAATTACGTCTTCATATCTCACGAAGTAATTCAGTGCCAAAGAGCACAGTATCAGAAAGTTTTCCTTGCGAATTACTGTCAACATTTGCTGTCCCATAGATATGTGGAATATGACACTCAAAATTTTGTTTATTAATTTTTCTCTCTAAATCAAGTCAGACGATTTTGACAAAGCCATATGGTTTTTCTACTTACTTTTATTTGTAGAATGACATTATTATAAAAGTTAACACAATTTTATTTATAAATTTTACTATTGCTTAATTCAAATACTCAATTATGGTCTCTCAGCAGTTCCAAATTCTTTTAAACTAGCATTAAAATATAAATTTGAAGTGCCTCTAAACTTATTTAGTTCCAGCATAAATTCATGCCAGCATAAAATGAGTAGGCTCTATTTTGCATGATTGTAGAAGAAAATATGCCCCAACCTTTCTGGAAGGGAATTTGGTTAATATATATCAAGTAACCAAAAAAGATCAATGTCCTTTATTTTTTATTTATTTATTTATTTTTGAGGAAGATTAGCCCTGAGCTAACATCTGCTGCCAATCCTCCTGTTTTTGCTGAGGAAGACTGGCCCAGAGCTAACATCCATGCCCATCTTCCTCTACTTTATATGTGGGACACCTACCACAGTGTGGCTTTTGCCACGCGGTGCCCTGTCCACACCTAGGATCTGAAACAGCAAACCTCAGGCCACTGAGAAGCGAAACGTGCAAACTTAACTGCTGTGCCACCGGGCCAGCCCTCAATGCCCTTTATTTTTAGCTGGGAATCTACTCTAAGAAAGTAACGTAAAAATCAGAGAATAATATGAGAACTAAGATAAGCACAATAATATTACTTAGAGTAACCAAAATTAGGAGCAGCTTAAATGTTCAGTATCATAGAAATAGTTAAATAATTGATGACATACTCATGGAATGGGCTAGACTACAGACACTAAAAATGTACTTTTGAAGATCATAATGACTTGGGGGAAAGGGCATGCTTTCAGTGTTAAATTTAGTGTTAAATGAAGAAAGCAGTGTATCAAATTGTATCTATATAATGATTCAATTTTTTCATAAATTGGAACACTAGCTATGAACAGATATTATCCCAAAATGATGGGATTACAGGGCCTTTTTTTCTTCCTTACATGTTTAAATAGTCTAAATTCTCTTAATGAGTGTATATAATCCTCTAATGTGAAAAATAAATAAATATTATATATTAATTTTTAAATGCATATCCACTTGATTTTGTTAGACTACACGTTGGGTGATATTGAGGTAGAGAGAAGCTTGACCTTGAGCTGGTTCTCTGGGCTCTGGGACAATTCTGCCATTATTCAGTGGCCGTGACTCACTCCATTGTATTTGATACTAGTGGGTTGGACAAAATGTCTTCTAAGATCCCTTTAAGCTATGCTATCCTATTATTCTGTAATTAATTAGGTATCAGTGTCACTTAACATTCTTTAGTGGTTTTTCAATAGCCTGGAACACTTTTCTGGGTTGTGGGGAGACAGGAGCTAAGGCACTTTGCAGCCACCCAGAAAGTCTTCCGAATTCTATGACCTCGTTAGTATCTTCATTGCCACCCTGTCATATGATAGAACTTCATCCCCATGACGTTCACTTGGCAAATGGCTTATACATTAGCTATCAGTGCTCCTGGGAAGCACTATACCAAGCAAGAGATTTAGATGCAGCTGATTAAAGGTAATGAAGTGAGACCAGCCACTCATTTTTATTTGCCGGAAGTTGGCCCTGTGATGTGTTGCTAATCAGTTCTACATTTACACCTCTCAGTATTTTAGTATCTCAGGAATACTGGAAGTTGGATTAAGCATATTTCCTCAGCACACAGATGGAGGGTAGAGGAAAGTTTTCAATAGTGAAAATAAATAGAGCAATCATGAAAAGAAAGATTAAATTCACAAACCTCTCTTTCTCTTCCCCTCCCTTCCTCCCTCTCCACCCACTCCTTGTCTTTGGGCATCAGCGTGTGACCAGCTGGCTCTCGGTGTGGCTGCTCTGTTCGGCCCTTCTCATAGTTCCTCTGTCAGTGCTGTGCAGTCTATTTGCAATGCTCTCGAAGTTCCACACATACAGACCCGCTGGAAACACCCCTCAGTGGACAACAAAGACTTGTTTTACATCAACCTCTACCCAGATTATGCAGCTATCAGCAGGGCGGTCCTGGATCTGGTGCTCTACTACAACTGGAAAACAGTGACCGTGGTGTATGAAGACAGCACAGGTATGGGACTCCCACAAAACTTCACCTGGCCATGTTTGGTCCAAACAAAGGGAACCAGAGTCTTCTATAGGCATTAAACTCATCAGGTGGAGACTCTGAAAATGCTCTTTTACGTGAAGTTAATGGAGTTTCTAATTTAGGAACGCCATGTGTAGGTAATTCCAATTCCTTTTGGTGAATTGATCCTTTCTGATGTTCCTTTAATCATCATGTTTAGGGGGATTTTTTTTAAAAGAAATATCACTTTTTTGATAAATGTTGTAATCCAGTGAGGATATTAAAAATGTAATTTCATTTATCCAGCCATATTGTCTGTGATCATGATTCCATTCTTTAAATAATGCAGAGAAAGTTTGAAAATGCCAACTTTATAAGTAGCTATGTAAACATCTAGAAAAGTTTCTAAAGTAGGTTAACAAAGAGGAATCCAGTTAGAGGTTGTATCAATAAAGGGGACCATTTCATGGGAAAGAGATTAAGAACCCCCTGTGATGAGCCCTGAATAAAGTTCCACCTACTTGTTTTAGGATGAAGGATGGAAATGTGGTTCATTCAGTTTAAATTCTTCTGATGACTCTCCATTGACTACATAAGTCTGTCTTTCTAATTTCAATCTGTTCATTCTTCAGCCCTTTACATCTTCATTAACCAGGCACTAGTTTCTCTACATTCCCTATTCTTTCACATCAGCTGTGAATGAAAAGTCAATCATTCCTTTAATACCCCCACATTCATCCCGACTCTACTTTTCTGAGGCTGGCTCCTCACTGTGCATGACGATCTTCTGCACAGCCCCCAAGGTGGTGAGCTCGCCCATTCTCCATGATCATGCTCAAATATCACTGCTACCTTGAAGCTCTCTGAGACCACCATAGACTTCAATACCACTTTGTAAAAATAAGCATTATATCACACGTTTCAATGATCTGTTTCCATATCTGTGAGACTAGGAATTCCTAAAAATTGGAATTTTATCTTATTTTTATAATCTACTTCCCAAACAATCCTGGCATATAGGAAAGGCCTTAGTAATAACGTGTGGAAGGAATAATACTATTTACTTTCTGAATATCTTTTCTCCAAGAATTAAAATTAGCTCCTTTTCTTGATCTACACATTTGGTAACAAGACTAATAAAATTATCAGTGAAGATTAATAAAGTAAATCATTTTCAAACTTTTTAATAGTATTTCATTCTTCACTGTCATTTTCACCAAGCACTAGCTCTTACTGTTCCCCTGAGGATGGATAGGGAGCCTCCTCTATTTGGCACTAAACTCTGGTTTCATTTTAAACTGTCAGATAAAAGTGACTATTCTGCCTGGAAATATGCATTTACATATTTTTTATACTTCATCTTATTTTAGGAAGAAGTAAGGGTAGGTGATTGGATATATAATTTATAAATATTGTATTCAAAACGGTCCTACTGGGGAGCATAAGCCACAGGCAGTCATATTTTTAGAGCTTCACCTGCTCGCTGTGAAGGAAGAAAACATATTATCAAATGAACTCCACAAGCATATATAAAGAGCCTTGAGATGGAATATTATGTTGTAAACGTAAGTGTAGTCAGATCTTCCGTGTCGCATACCGTTGTAAATAGAGAATTCCGTGAGCTAATAAAATCATACTGTTTCACATTACATAGTACACTCTATAGTATAATTTTCCTTCACTATTTCTACCATCTCCAGCAAAGCAGGACGATCTAAAAGAAAAAGAAATCAAAGAATGATATTGAAACTTCTGCATTTAAGGAAGAGTTCAACTCCAGGTGTGAGCATAATTGTTGTAGATTTCAAATTGTGTGTAGACAAAATACAATTTGTAAAAGGATGACACAAAAGTTGATGTCCTAACCATCCTTCTGATTTCAGGTGAGCACCCATAAGTGATGGTGCTTTTGCACAAGAGAAAAATCAAACTATCATTTCTATCATCTTGTACAAGAAACTGAAATCTCCTTTTCATCACTAAGTTCACCTGAACTCAGTTGCTTCATAAATGCTGAAATTGAAAATCCAAAATGAGTTTGTATGTTGCCCATTAAGTTAGAGATGATTCATGTGAAAATGATTTTGCTCACAAAGACATTAAAAATGCAAATGAATAATCAATTGAGCCATTAAATTGGAACTCAGAGAGTAAACAGGTCAACTGAGATCAATAAAGCAGGCATCTCTTGACTTTGAGTGGGTTTAATACTGCTTGACTCAGGGTTTTGGTTGCAGTAATTATCAAACCATAAAAAGGAGAAACTTGCTAAACCTGAAGGAAAAGAAAGGACTTAGGTGTGCTCAGCACCTGCCCTCACACCAGAATTGAGTACTCATTAAAAAACACTTTGTTGGGATTTGTTTAGGAGTTTGTTAAATAGCCTAAAGCCAGCACAGATGTCTGTGGGACTGAATGGCCCATGATGCCCATTGAATCAATGGGATCACTGTGCAAGTCTCTAAGGACAAGATTCAATTCACTAAATACCAACAAGCAGAATTCTGTCCTCTAAAAGCGAAAATGTAGGAAGACCCTAGAGAACTGTTGGGGGGAGAAAAGTTTTGTCTCGCTTCATCTCTCTCTTTCTCCGTTGCCTGGATGTTCTTCTCATCAGTCACCTACTTCTCTTTGATTCCTACATTCAGAGGTGACCCTAGGCAATGAGAATTGCTGCTCACTGGTCATCCCCTCTGCTTCATTAGACCCCTGGTGAAAGCCTGGCTTCTATCCCTTCACACACATCAAAAAAGACCTGAGAAGCTGAGCACCAAATGCAGTGTGGAGGATAGTCAGCACTTTCTGCTTTCTCAAGGCCATTCTTAGTGAAATGTAGCCCAAGCCATTTCTGTAGAACAGGAGCCGGCAAACTTTTTCTCTGAAGATTTGTATAGTATATAGCTTAAGTTTTATGGGCCATAAGATCTCAGTCACAACTACTCCACACTGCAGAGGCAGCAAGAAAGCAACCATAGACAATATGTAAATGATTGAGGGTGGCGTGTTTCAATAAAGTTTTATTTATAACAAACAAGGAGGGCAGTGTGGTTGGATCAGAGTGATCAGGGAAGGATGGTGTGACACTAGGTCCGATAGGATGGCCTTGTAGATCATAGAGGGTTTTGTGGACCATGGAAGAGCTTCCGCTCCTCATGAAATGGGAAGCCCTTGCAGAGTTTTCAGCAGAGGAGCCGCATGATCAGACTTACATCATAAAAAGATTACTCTGGCTGTTGTATTGAGAATAAAATATAGGGAGGCAAGGGTAAAAACAGGTGGCTCCTAGAGAAATCAAGGCAAGAGATAAAGGTGATAGGAATAGAGGAGTAAGAAATGGCCAGATTCTGGAAATATTTTGAATATTGAGCTGGCATAATGCCCTGAAGAAGTGGAGCCTGGGTGAGAAAGAAATAGAGGAGTCAAAGATGACTCAGCTTTTTGGTCTAAGCCAAAGGATGGAGTTGCCATCACCTGAGATGGGGAAATGTAAAGGTGGAGCTAGTTTGGAGGGATAAGGATGATGTTAAGAGTTCAGTCATGAACATGTTAAGTTTGAATTTGAGATGTCTACTAGACATCCAAATGGAGGTGATTAGGAGGTAGTTAATGTATGAGTCTAGAGTTCAGGAATGTGGTGTGGGCTAGAGATACAAAATTGGGAGTCCTCAGCATATAGATGGGACTAGATGAGGCCATCAAGGAAACGAGTTCCAGCCAGATGCCTCTAGCCCTGAGTTCACAACACATTGCCTTTAAGAGGTTGTGTTTTGAACCGTAGTTGCCTTAAGTCATTTATCTCAACACGTTAGAGCCATGAGATTTCTAAAATGCAGCCCACAATAAAGAGGTATTAACTGTCACTAAACCATAGTCTCAAAGCTTTGCAATGAGTTAATTTGACATAAGATTAACATACATAAAAATATCAGTGATGGAAAGAAACATTAAAGAAGAAAATACAAAAGAAACGATAACCATGAAAATCCCAATAGTAACTCAATTCTTGAGTGCTGACTATATGCCACACACTGTTCTAAATACTTTATATAATTAACTCATTTAATATGCTCATCCACCCTGTAAATAAGTGAAATAACTGTTCTTATGACCGGATTTCAATAGCAACTTACACTTGATGTATCTATTTTGTTTCCCTCCGTTTTCCCGTAGAATACAGAAAGAATACATTATCCAGAACCAAGAATCTTGACAGAGGCTGAAAATTAGACTTGAAGAAAATTAGACATTTTGGCAATGATGACCAAGTCAAAATGAAAAATATTCTGTACATAGTGCCAAGTAGAAGAATAAGGGAATCCTTTCACCTCAGCAATCACAACTTACCCCACTGTGTTGTCATGACCACTGGTGCTAGCCAACACTTCTGCTACATGCCCTCCCACAATTCCATCTGATATAGCTACACAATGAAAGTTCCTTTTTTTCTCTGCCTCACTCTTTTCTACTCTTCTTATCCACCCACTCCAGTCCCCTGACCAGAACCCTATTCATATTTTCAGAAGGCTGCCCAGGAAACCCATCTTCAGATGTTGCACGCCAGGTGTATCACTTTTAGCTACTATTAACATTAGCCAGAATTCAGGACCGAAATATGCTGGTGGAGCTAACTACAACAGAGTTAATCTCAAACATTTTGACTAGACTCTTCTATGAGGTCCTTTGCAATTAAGAGACACAATTTTTCTTTTGGGAAGCCTCTAGCTTTCTTTTCTTTGGATGCACTTTTGAAAAATCATATGTATGAAATCTGCACTTGAAAGTGCTCTATTTCCCCAGATAACTCACTCACTTACCCATTTTCATTTCTCAGTTCTGATTTTTCCTCCCCTCTGGAGGGAAGATAGATTCCCTTAAGAACCTTATTAGATTTGGGTATATTAATACACCAATAAGTTTGTGAAATGCCGTTTTGCCGGTTTCTAAGTTCAAATGAAGAAGAAATTAACATTTAAAATGTGCAATCTTATTTTTGGGTCCCAGTGGTTTATTACAATCATTTTTATGGCATCAAACCCGCTGATGTGGTTTAATGAACAGGGAATTGGATTAAGACTCAAGAAAGACTGAGGTACTTTGCATTTGAACTGATGCTCATTAAATATAACCAAAGCTGTCCAGAAATGGCTTGGGCTTCAATGTGAGGTAGAGAATTTCTCAAAAGACGAGGTGTTCAGTCGCAGCTTATGTAGAGGGGATTCATGCCTCCAGTAGGGGTTGACCTTTAAGGTCCCTTCCAATTCCTGGCATCTGTGACTCATTTTCAGGGCCGCTCCAAACAATTAACCTCACTGTGCCTCGCTTTCCTTACCACAAAATAGCACCGACACCTATCCATCCTGGAGGTATATTCTGAGGTTTATTGAGCTATTTATAAGGCATGTAGCATACTTCATAAAAAGGGGCAATGTAAATAGCAACGTTTATTATTACTTAAGGAGGAGGCATGGGAAATTTTAAACACTCACTGGAAATAGCAGGTTCTTTTTTTCTCCTCCATATGCTCCACCTGTTCCCAGAGTTACTCGATGTGCATGCAGATCAGCATTTTTCTGTGCCATCTCTGAGTGCAAAGAGTAGCAAGTGTTTAGAATTGGCCATTTGGACATATTTGAAAGTTATCTCCATATGCGGAGTCCCGGTCGAGCTCCCATGAAATAAATAGGCTCCTTGCTCTAAAGCGCTTTTCAAACCAAAAGTGTAGCTTCCAGTTGCATTCTTGGGGATGGGAGTGGAGGAAGAAGGTTCTTCTGGTATTCTCTTATATCTCCATGTTTGGTCTTTTTATTTAGAAAGATTTGAACTTAGAGAAAAGTTGCAAGAAATGCGCAGGAAACTCCTGTACACCCTTCATCTAGATTCAGCCATTGGTGTCATTTGGCCAATAGAGCTTTAGTGCTCTATTATTCTCTCAATATGAAAACAACTATAACAACAACAATAACCGTAGTAAGTAATAGTATTGTTGAACCATTTGAAATTAAGCGACAGACATCATGACCATTTTACCCCTAAACATGTTAGAGTGCATTTCCTAAGAACTAGGACCCTCTTTGTTATAACCACACTGAATTATCAAATACAGGAAACTTAACACTAATACAACACTATTATCACATGTAAACATGATAATAGTAAAAAGAAAGGGCTCTGCAGAGATGCCTGAGGGCATGGGGAGCAGGTGCTTGCTGGTCAGAAGACCTCAGTACAGGTTGTTCTTAAACACTGGGGCCTTCCCAGTGACCAGAAGGCACCAGGGTTTCTCCTCCAGAGTGTGGCTTTGCCCCAGGCACAGACAGCCAGCTTGGAGTGCTCTTGGCTAAGGATGTTGTGGGCCATCTGGCCTTTTTCACCTGGTCCAGAGGGACCCAGAGTCAACTTTCATGGAGGTCCTCTGTGCCCATGTTGTCCTCATACTCTCTCCTCCCAGGAAAAGGCTGATGGGGGCTGCTGGGTCAGCCTTGATCACGCACACAGACAGAGCCTGTGCTGGATCTGGCCCTGTCGGGGGACTGCTGTCTTTTTCTCATCACTCCTTCCTGGTTCTGCTGTTTATGCTGCTAAAATAAACAGGACTTGATCTCACACACACACACACACACTCACACACACACATACTCACACACACACACACACTCCCTCTCTCTCTCTATATATATACACCATATTTCAGTTATTATAATTGTCCCAATAATTGTCCTTACAACATTTTTTTGAATCCAGGATCACTCTTTGCATGTAGTTGTCACGTCCTTTTAATCTCCTTTGGTTTAAAACAGTTCAGCCTTCCTCTCTGTTTCGTGAGACACATTTGAAGAGTCCTGGTCAGTTTTATTGCAGTTTTGAAGAGTCCTGGGTTTATTTGGTTGTCTCCTGATCTACATTTTATTTTTAAAGTGCCTCCACTTGGAGGCCTAGAAACCCATCACTCACCGTTAGCAGCTTTGTGTGTATCATTACCATTCTCTGCAACTGGAGTTCAGTCCTGGAAGCACTGGGTCACTCCATCAGGCCAGCATCCAAACCCAGGGGGACCATTAGCAAAGTTAGGAGGTGTGTCTGAAACAATTTCCATTCCCTGAAGTCCTGGAATTATTTGTTTAGCAAATAATTTTAGCTATTCTTTACAACGAAGTGCAAATGAGTGACGGATTCCTGCAAAATGCAAATAAAAGGAAAAACTGTCTTGAAATTTTGTCTCCTGTGAACTAAAAAAGCCTTTTAAATTGTAAATTCTACAATGTTTGCTATTGAAGGAAGAAGGCTTTTTTTTAAGCAAACCATTGCTTTGGGAAGAGAAATGTAAGACTCACCAGCTCCTTGTTCTTCCCACAATTTGAGTCTGTAATCTCTAAATCTGCTGATCCTCTCCCTTCTAGTGACTGATTCACCTGTATGTAGAAACTGTTTCTATTTTTTCTTCATCTCATCAAACAACCCAAAGCTACATACACTCCCTCAGCACCAACAATTTGTATTTGTAAGGCAGGATGGTGAAGTGGAAGGGTCGAACACTGGGCTCACAGACAGCAATCTGAATCCATGGCTCCTCCTAACCATCTTTGTTGCTCTAAGTTATTTAATTACACTGAGCCTTGGTTTCCCTATTTGAAATGATGAAGATAATAACGCTTGCTTCATAGGATTATTGTGAGGATTAACAAATATAACAAATAACAAATATGCATGTCCATGTGCTCAGTTTTCTTCCATTTTTATTACTCATCATGGCTCAGGGCAAGAGATTCTGGAAGTAAGAGGACAAGTGGCTCATTATTGGTACTTGAGAGATTTCCATCAGGTTGATTGATTTGAAAACAAGCAAGAGCCCAGGAAGGCTATCATTCTCACACTTTCCATTTTTATGTAAAAAAATAAAAATGGATAATGAGTGCTAAATCTTGATTTGTTCCTACCACTCCTCCTCTCATTGCCCCATCCATTTGACTCTGAAGAGTAACTTAATGACAAATTTACTGTACATCAGCATGGTTTTGGAGGAAACTTGTAACATTTGAGTCACAAAAATGTAGCTTCTGGGGGAAAAAAATAACTAAATAAAACGAGACAGTGAAAGAAATGCATCAACTCCAGAGGTAGCTGGCATCCATGCTCTATCTTGCAGAGTCCATACCACAATTTCCATCTGAATGCTGATAAAGCTTAATATTTCCTATTGATTTTTTGGAGCTGACAAATCCTGAAGGCACGGAAGTGTGTAATAAAAAAAGTAAAAGTCAATTTTCCAATGCAATGGGAGTCCTTGAGAGAGAACCAACATCACACAGTGTAGCAAGCATCAGTTAACATTTGGGGAAATAAGAGGAAGGTTTTATACAGCTGTTTGTCTTACCCTAACAGAGCACTTCTGTCAAAAAACGGTACAGCTCAGTAGATTCATATTTGTGATAAATCAAACATTCTCCATCAAGTTAGTTGGCTGGATATACTTTCCTGCAATTATCAATGGTAGATTTTTAAAGCATTTTGTTTCTGCTTTTTTTATCATATCTAAAAATCTTATGGTCTTTTTTCTTTATCAAGAAACATTTTCCAAGTCTACGTGGAATTATATTAAAGAGAATATAATGAGTCATTTGTAAATAGTTTGTATGGCAGGAACTGGAAGATTATTTATAGCAGCCCAACCAATTAGCTGGTAAACAGTATGTTATATATAAATACTTGATGAAAGGCTTACAAAGGTTTACAGCCCCAAGAAATTCTAGTATTCCATTGTTTTTTTTAAGTGAGCAGGTCTTATCCATTTCATGTAGCACCTTTGGAAACTTCAAGCAACTTTTTGTTTACAAACATTTTACAGTTACAGACTTGATTTGTTAAAGATTTAAGGTATTGGCTGAAAGCTGGAGAGGACAATTGCATTCTAAATAAACTCAAAATACACTTGGGAAAATTGTGATTCCAAGCCACACATACCCACACGAGGAAAATACAGTCTAATCTACCACTGAAAGAGGAATGATAAATGAGAAGTCAATAGTGTAAACTTTAGGTAGGTGGCCTCTTGATACATTTTGGGAGTGATATGAATTTGACTGTAAATGGCAATAAACAAATACTTTTTCTACAGAACAGTTTGTTGCATGATTGGATGTCATTTTCTAGGTCTAATTCGTCTACAAGAGCTCATCAAAGCTCCCTCCAGATATAACATTAAAATCAAAATCCGCCAGCTGCCCTCTGGGAATAAAGATGCCAAGCCTTTACTCAAGGAGATGAAGAAGGGCAAGGAGTTCTATGTGATATTTGATTGTTCACATGAAACAGCCGCTGAAATCCTTAAGCAGGTAAGACGGCAGGGAGGAGGCGGAAGTGTGGGGGAAATGTTCATTTCTCTTTCTCAAAAATGCCATCTGGTTTCCCTTAATGCAGCAGGATAAAATTGTAGCAGTCCAGTTTAGGCTGAAGATTGAAGTTTTTCAGAATTCTTTTAAAGAGCCAAAGGGCTCAGGGATTTCAACGAAGCCACCCGTCAATATGTAGTTGTAGATGTGTGGTCCTGTGTACCACCTGGGAGGTATGTAGATCCGGCCAGCAGAGGTTGAGAGAAGGGTGTCATTTCAAGGTGATTAAGCATCTCTTCCTTTATGTCTACTGAAAAGGCTGAGCTGGATTTCATTTACACAATGCCTGACTTGTCCTAAATACATCTTCCTCATGGCAAGACCTCTTTCATCAAACATGCAGGATTCCAAGCATAGTGAGGAGGGAACACAGAGACAGTCACACAAAAGATGGTTCTCCTAATTTGTTGTAGACAATGAGCTGCCATGCATTAATCTCCACAGATGATGGAGGAGGAAACACTTGATAAATTGTGAAATCTTATATAAATGAAAGCTGTTAGTAATGTTAAGAAGAATAATAGCGACAACAGAGTAATAATTTCTGAGCACTTCAAGATATAGCACTGGTCTTATGCCCAGCAAAGAAAAATCAGAATTAAAAAAATAAAGCATAGGCTAGCGGTTCTTGACTCAGAGTGATTTTGCCCCCTCAGGAATTTTTGGCACTGTCTGGTGACATTTATGGTTGTCATATTGGGGACAGTGGCACTCTATTGGCAAGTGGTAAGGGATGCTGCTAAACATCCTTCGATGCACAGGGCATCCCCCACAACAATGAGCTATGTAGCCTAAAATGCCAATAGTATGAGGTTGCGAAATCCCGGCACAAAGACAATGAGAAAGGCTAACCAGATGTTTAAAATAGAAGCATTAATAAAAGATCAGGGGATTGAATTTGGGGGGAAATAAGTAAAAATAGCCAGGTTATATTTATGTGGCCTAATGGGTTTCTCTTTGGATTTAACTTAAGTGGTTACTATGGCATAAGGCAATGTTCTTATCTGAAATGGCACAAGCTGTCATTGCACTCCCTAGTTTTAAAGGTCTGGAGTGTGCTGTGCGGTTGACTGGTACTGGGCACTAATTTCATAAGTAGACCAATCTCTCCACACACACGCAGGACTGTGGATTTGTGAATCCCTTGGAAGAGCCCTCTTATAGCAGTCATCCAACCTGACTTTCCAGTGCTGTATCCCATACTTGAAGGCATCTTTCTGAAGCCACTGACTTCAGAGTTAAGTTTTTAACTGCACTGACAGGAGACAATCAGGCAAGTAGACTGGTTGTCTCTATGATCTCCTGGATGGTTACTCTAAAAATTCTATTTAATAGTATCATAGAACATATCTAAAGTAACAGTTGAAAACAATCCTAGACATTATCAAGGCTAATCCTATCACTTTATAGGAGATGAAGTAACTTTCCCAGAGTCACACAGCCAGGAACTGGCACTCAGCCTCCTTTATCCCATCCAGTGCTTTCTGCACTATAGAATGTCGCTTCTCAAGTTAGGCGGAGAGCATCTGTTACTTACTTCTAGCCTACAGTTGCATTAACAAATCTTTAGATATTATAATTATCTATCACTAAAGAAAGCAATCATGTTGCAGCGATATCAGCAACTAAAGAGCTTTAAGGGTAAATAAATACAATCAGCAACCCTCTATCTTAAGGCTTCATTCGAGAACTTTAATACAGCTCATTAAAGTGTATAATGGAGTGTAGACCAGAGTGAGAAAAACATCCAGGTTTTATGTGTAGCCCGCAAAATGCAAAGAAGCCCCCTTTCCCAACAACCTGCTATGACAGAGGCTGAGGACTTCCGCCACATTTAAGAGGACGATCTGCTGATGAGACTTCTCTTGGTTAGATACCCATTTGGCTCCCATAACAGGCCACATCTCTCCCAAAGGGCAGGCTTAGAATAGGCGAAAGAAATGCATGGTGGGCATAGGAAAGATCTGTTAAATTTTTCCCCTCCATTGTGATACATGGAATTAAAGTGACTCTTTCTTGGTAGCATAGAGATTACAACATTCAAATGACAATTTTTGAAAAAACAAACTAAAAAACCCTCTAAAAGAAGCCTTCTCAAGAAATGTCTGAAGGGGGCAGGAAGCAGGGAAATCAGTCCAGCTTTGCAATAACTATGGACTCACTTTTTTCTCCGTTCTCCCTCTTCTCATGTTTGTCTTGTTTACTTTCCTAATCACGTGAGTGGTAAGATTGGCTGTGAAGCTTAGGGGAAGCGACTAAAGAAAACGTTCGTCCATTTTTTGTTCTAGACTAATGATCTGCAAATATTGGGGAAGGAGGAAAACCTTTGTCAAGGTTCCAGCATGGGAGCCCTACTTTACTGCTTGGGAAAGTACAATCGCACTTTTTGCAATTGCAGTAGAGGACCCAGGTTGGCTTAAGGTACCTCCAAGAGGCTGTTATGGTTTGAAAAGTGATACTGAAGACTTCAGGACTTTCTATTCTCGGCAAAATGAGGTCCGATATGGGGCTGGCCCAGTGGCACAGTTGTTAAGGTTGCACAGTCTGCTTCGGTAGCCCGGGGTTCCCCGGTTCAGATCCTGGGTGCAGACCTACGCACTGCTTGTCAAGCCATGCTGTGGGCGGCATCCCACATATAAAGTAGAGGAAGATGGGCACGGATGTTAACTCAGGGCCAATCTTCCTCAGCAAAAAGAGGAGGATTGGTGGCAGATGTTAGCTCAGGGCTAATCTTACTCAAAAAAATAAATAAATAAAAAATGAGGCACAATACTCTGTGTGATCCAGTTTGACTTGTTGCATTAGCCCTGGGCAACAATCTGTAGAAACAAAGAGAAATCTTCCCACTGCCATCTACTGAGTGCTTCTCTAGGAATGCTGAGGGTTCAGGGTCCTGATTCCAGTCACCACTTAACCAATCTTTTTCTATCAGAGGGAAAGAAAGGAAGGAAAGAGCTATCTCTTTTACTCAGGTGCCACCACTGGCACCTGGCATCCTGTATATTGTCTCATGCGATCTCAACCAACCGCTGAGGTAAATTTGGTATCCTCACTTCAGAGTTGAGAAAACTGAAGCTCAGATGGGTTAAGTGTCCATACAAGGTCGCTCTTTGCATAGCCAGGCTCCCATATGGTCTCCAGACCCACCTGATCTTAGAGCCTGTGTGCCCACTTTACCTTGAAGGGCCCCCATTCTGAATGGATAACAATTCCATTCTAAAGTAGGCTTCCAGAAACTTCTGGGGAAAACACAAGCACTTGCTGCTGGTCTCCTTTGGAAGAAATTAGTATGAACAACTTTGACTTCCTTTGTGACTGCTGAGGTGCTGGCTGATGGCCTAGCAGTTAAGTTTGCACCTTCAGCTTCAGCAGCCTGGGGTTCGCCAGTTCAGATCCCAGGCACAGACCTACGAACTGCTTATCAAGCCATTCTGTGGCAAGCATCCCACATATAAAATACAGGAAGATGGGCATGGATGTTAGCTCAGGGCCAATCTTCCTCAGCAAAAAGAGGAAGATTGGCAGTGCATGTTAGATCAGGGCTAATCTTCCTCAAAAAAATAAAATAAAATCACTGCTGAGAAAATTTTCTCTGCCAGGTCAACTTGGCTTTCTTCTCATGCATATTTCCATTATTTTCCTGTACTTCTCTGCACCTCATCGTGTTTTACCACTTTTTAATGATTCTTAAGAAAAAAGAAATCAAATGCACTTTAAAGAAGATATTTGACATTTATCTAAAAGTAAAAATTGGGAAAAAGTCTATAGTTATTCTTGGGCATGCTAATCACTCTAGCGAAGTAATTATTTCTATTCATATTGAACAAGTACTATATGATGAGAATCTGAAAAGTTATTTCCCAAAAATTAGTTAGAAATTCAAATGTCAAGACTCGATTAGGCTACAGAAGAGCAGGGCTTTCGTATGAACAAACTGCTTTCATGAAGTTCTGCCATTTAAAAGTGGCCCCAACAATCAGCAGCACATGGGACTCATAAATGCGCATGGGACCCATCAGGTCACTTGGTGTCCTTTTCTCTCCCTGTCCACCCACCGCCTCCCAGCAAGCATCCTCTGCTTTTTGAGGATGCTGATCCTTACTTAATTTGCCTTCAACGTGAAAACCCCAGGTCCCAGCCCCTGCCCGACCCATTTCCCCCAAGTCCCATCATCCACCTGACTCTTCACTGCCCACCCTACTTGCACCCTCACTCGCTCCTTTTGAGTGTGATTATTCACACTCAGTGGCTTCTGGGAGATGAATTTAAAGAAGAGTCACAGGGTAGAAATAACTCCAGGTGGAACTCCTATCAAGGGCCTAGTGCCATGGTGGGTGATAAGCAACCATCTTCTTTACTTGATACAATAACCCTCGATATAATTGGTATGATCCCTCTTTTGCAAATGAACATGGAAGCTCAGAGTTAGTAATAATTTCATCTATCACATACTGAGCATGCTCTTACTGCCAAAATCTGTGGCCTATGTGAACTGACCTTGCCTCTCTCTCCAGCCTCCTTGCCAGCCTGGGCCTCTGATACTCTGTTTCAGAGGCACTCTACCTTGTCACATAACATGCCCTCCTTCTCCCACTTCACCATCTTTGCACTTAAAGTTGCCAACACCTGCAACGTTTCTTCCCAAAGTTGGCCTCACCTAATCCTTCACACTTGTCTCTTGATTCCCTACGACCTTGCAGTCTACTTGGTTGTTCCGTAACCCAGATAAAAATCTATAATTAATTAAGGACCTTCTCTTGTTATCCATATCCCCTAGTATACTGTGAGCTCCAAGAGTACAGAAGCCTTCTTTGTCTGCGTCTCCTAAATCCCCAGAGCCTACTGGATTGCTTGACACATAGTGAGTACTCAATAGAGCTCTGTTGAATGAATTCATGAAATGGATGAATGAGTGATCCAAGAAATGTGCTAGGAGCTCTTAA